TAGATGCAAGGAGAAGACATCTACGAGAAATAAAATAGGAATAGATTAGTTTCTTCTTAGGAGATACTCTCCCGCCCAGACCCGTCTTTCCCAGTGGGCACTTTGGGCAAGTGCCCAGGGCCCCGCGATCGATAGGGGCCCCCCTCAGATCAAATACAAAGTCCCTAGTTCCTGTTAAATAACCAAACGGAGGTCGTCGTTATCCTAATATGCCCAAGGCCTCCAATAGGTCAAAGACGGCACTGATTTGAGAACTATGCATGGGCGTAGCCAGCCATGGGCTCAGGGTGGGGCAGCAGTAGGGCTACCGATTTTTTTTCTATCATATTATATAGTATTTTCGAAGCTGTTACCTCTAAAATATAGTAGTTTGTAAAAAAAAGGAAAAAAAATAGAATGTGGTTAAAATATTTACTTTATTTATGAAATGAATATATTTTTGCTGCTCTATGCCTTAATAATTATTTTTTTATTTTTAAGAAAGCTTTTACTGGCAAATGTCTGCTACATATAGTAATTTCGTCTATATTATTTGATCTTTATATAGCATTTGATCCTCTAATATAGTACGATACTATATTATATAGTAGGGTGAGCAATTCTAAAGGCAGCAGTCTATAATAATATGTAACTAACAAACTATACCCGCGATCTTACCCCAGTAATTTTTATCATACAAAAATGTTACACCCTATATCAACCTTTATCTGTATTGGAAATTCTTTTTATAGGTAGCCTTGAATATACTTGGATTTATTGCAAGCCAGTCAGTGTGGACTGTAGTGAAATTCGAATTATCCAAAACACTTTTTTATTGCTCTCGCACCTAAACCACAAAATTTTCCAGCCAAAAAACAAAAGGATTGCATTTGTGGAACACTTTTTATTTGGACCGCATTTTTTTTGTGCCAACTGTCGAGTGTGTGTCTTACGGATGTCAAGTATTGTAGTTAGAATTTAGGTAATTTATTTTTAAGTGTGGTTAGGTATCTAACAGGTCAAAGCCAGGGTGGCTATGCCTATGACTATTGGCATTGCTTTTGTCAAAATAATATCATCATCAGCCTATTAATGTCCCCACTCTCTCTGTTAATAACTGAGTATATTATATACTCAGTTATTCAAGCTTTCGGCAAAGATCAATCCAATTCTTTCAACGAGTGCTACGCTGGCGCACGCCTGATCCAAAACTATAAAAAAAAACTAAATATTTCAGAAATACGTATGAAGCTCGATAGCGCAAGTGCTAGCGCATTCGGCTGCGATCGTTGAAGTAAAGAAACTTTCGCAGTGGTCGGTCATTGGATGGGTGACCAAAAATGTACTATCTCGAGCTCCTTCGTGCTTCGGAAAGCACGTTAAGGCGTTGGTCCCGGCTGGATCTCTGCAGTCATTAGCACCCACCAATCCGCACTGTGCCCGCGTGATGGGTTACGGCCAATCTCCCTATTCCATTCAGGCCCGTGTCCCAGCAGTTGGGACATTAATAGGCTGATGATGACGTTGACGTCTGTTCATTAAGATTAGTGCTAAGTTTCTTACACTAAATACAGATAAAAATAAAACGTCCCAGACATCATCATATAAAAATTTATTTCACTATTTTCCACTAAAAATAATAAATAGAACTTACTATTATTCATGTATTTAAAAACACAAGGAAAAATCAAAATTGATCTAATATTTTCTAAAACACCTTTACACGTAAATGGCCATGATTAAGTATTTTGAGTTAATTTAAATCACTGCAAGGTTTATGGGAAGAATATAAAACTCATTATCACACAAAAAATTAAAATGCATAAAATAAGAAAAAGTACACAAGTACAGTAACACAAAAAAATACGACTATGTAATTATTTACTTAATTATTTGTTAATTTCATAAGCTTAATACAATTGGCACCTTTAAAATACAGTCGCGATGAGTTTCACTTTTGAAATTCCTAGAGAAGAAAAATCCTTCAAAAAAAGAAAATAGTGGAAAAGTTACCTCTAAGTTTAATTTCTACTGCTAGATATATAAGTATAATGAATAATATAAAAAAGCATGAAATAAGCTTATTAGGATGTTTTGTAATAGCTTGAACAATAACTAATTTCAAAAGGCCTCTATCTTCTCTATATTGAAAACATTCGTTCTATTCTATGAAAGAAAATGAATGAAGCGTTTTGTAATAAACCACCAAAAAATTAAAATTGTTAACGAAAATTCATTAAAAATAACTCCTTTTTAGGTTAGTTTAGATCTTCCACATTTTATCGATATAAATAAAAAACAATAAATTAAGTAATTACAGCTAATAACTTTAAAAATATCACTGTTTTGTATTCGTCACGTAAATACTAAGTGATGTAAATTGTCACTTGGTTTACAGTCACAGCTTACTTTAAATGATGATTAACAAATTATATAAAATGATACTGAAGCGTAATAATTATAAAAAAATAAATTATTATTTTTCGTTTGTATTATGTACGCATGATATAAAGATTATGCATCTTATACAATATTGTGTTATATTTTTTATATAGTACATATCTAACTGGTAATAATGACAGGTTTTCGACAAAATCTACTGATTTAGATTCCACTGAATTTATATGATATTACCCAAGTACATAAATGAGTGTTATTGTTATATTTGAAAAATATAAAGATATACCTATTCTTAAAACAACATTGTTCTTTGATAATGATTATAATGTTTATATTAAAAGCCTACCTACGGCACATATCTATAAATGAGATTTACAATCGAGTGCACAGATACAAAACGTACCAAGTATATTTATACAACAATGCATAATATATATAACTGAAATGTGTGTAATTAGTTAATTACAAGTACATATTCCATGAATAAATTATACATAAAAAAATATAAAAAAGACACATTTTTAGTGTGGATAAATTACACAATTAATGAAAAAATAGACTTCATATTGGAGATTCTAGAAATATTTGTTCTTAAGAGTAGCGAATTTGCTACTAATATCACAATATAACGTTGACTTTGCACTTTACTACATGGCTTGGTTAATTTAAAATATCTTCTTATTTATTATTTTTTATTAATCCTGTTACTCTATAAGGAACATAATAAGATAAAATCTAACATGACAAGTGAATAAAATGCAATATGAAAATTCTAGTTTCAATCTAAATGTATATTAATACGAACAGACTCGGTATTTAACAATATCATGGTTCCATTTCGTATTTATTTTGAAGGTTTTTTAGTTGCATTATCTAGATCTTTTTAGGAACTGCAGAGATGATGCTATTTGTTGGTTATACTTGGGAAGTTAGTAGTTATGTCATTAATATTATATTGACAGTTTTCTTAGTTTTAAAGGGGATCGCGTGTGTTGAAGTTTGTCCATTTATATTATTAGACAAATAAAAAACTTTCGTGGAAAGCTTTAATTGAAAAAAATATGCTGTAACTGATTTTTCATGTAAAAGATGCGGATTTATCTTTTGTCAAACCAGTTGGTAGTTTGAATGAGGCTGTTTTTATGAAAATTCAGGTCACCAGGTGGCGCCACTGTGGCATGACGTCTTTTTTATGAGGTTTTTGGCGCGGATTATTCGAACAAGCATTTAAATTGATCCATAGACTATGAAGTCATACGCGATTTGACGGATGAGTAGGCCTTACAGCTCAGTGCTGCCACCTGGCGCCCGTCATTCCTGAACACCCTCAATAATAGTTAGTGAAAGTACATGTTTATTTTTGGGCAAACCAGCATTTTCTTGAACATTATGAACACAATATTGGTCCTTATCCAAGTATGGATTTTATTCGCCAGAACCGAAAGAAGCCATTATGAATAAAATTTTAAATATTATTAATTTCAATCCTAATCCAAATAGGGTAATGAACCTTTATTCATAGTGGCGTTCATATCCCACGAGAAGTGATTCACCGCTCGCAATCCGACGTTATGAACACAATGGTCCTAATTCTGACATCATTATCTAAACTTAAAACCGAATTTAACATCAGTCTGACCTTTTCACTCTCTATAGAACATGTTAGGGTCACACTATTGCCATATTTAGTTTTAGGTTTAGAGAATAGGCTAGTTGACCCTTTTCGTAAAAAGGTTTTAAATGATTAATAAATGTTCTATTAGGCCGAAAAAAGATGTATTGTATTTTTTTGAGACCTAGAAAGCTACAAATTTTTAATTTTAAAATAGACTTTTCATGGACATACAAAAACGCTGTCGGCCATTTTAGTCTATAGACTATCTATGATATGACGTTAACCGGTAGTAAACAAAAACTCGTAAGCACGTAGAAAATAACCTACCTGAGTATATAATAAAAAAAAATCATGATTTCTAATAAATACCACAAAAAATATAGTTTGTATTGTACGAAAATGTAAAAACACATCCTTGAAGACTCCAGGAAAGTTGCGGATTAAAGTGCCGAAAGAAATGTACCTACGCAATACCTGGTTAGAACTTGCTAAAAGGGATCCTGCAACTTTATCGACTCATAGTAATTTTTTTTATGCGAAGATCACTCAGATGTAAGTACTCATTGAATAATATTTTAAGTCTTCATTTATTATCAGTTTAAATAATACAAGTTTTAAGGTAATGTATGAATGACATTTAGTTGTTTACTACCAAAGAGACGTCACAATCATGGCGGATGTGGCGAACAGCGTTTTTAGTGTTTAAAAAATATAGACTTAAAAATATTTTTTTAAATTAAATTTCTACAGCAATCTTCTGCTTTTATGAAGTGAAATTGATATATTTAGGTTCCTTAGACCAAATACTTTAAGAAATAAACATTAATTTAATACAATTCGACATGAATCAACTAGCCTATTATGCTAGAATCGGACTTAATATCGATCTTAATCCAAATATGGTAATAAACAGTCGTCTCAGTCTCTCCATTTCACTCTCTATAGAACATGTTAGGGTCACACTATAGCCATATTTAGTTTTAGGTTTAGAGAATTATGCTATAATCGGACCTAATATCGATCTTAATCCAAGTATGGTAACAAACAGTCGTCTACGATAGTAACGTTCATATGCCAAGAGAAGTGATTCACCCCAGGCACGGTTAATACATGCAATCTATTGGAACTGTCTAATGCCCGTAATCCGATGCGATCCTCCTTGTAAATGTCCTGAGCTCGCATTTCTATCACAGACTCGCTGCCGTTATAATAACCGAATTGACTGGAATGATATAAAGTTGAAATTATATTTTATTCAAATTGACTTATTGAAGGCTCTTTCGAATCATCCGATATTTTTTCCTAACACCCATTAAAGACATCTTTTAGCTGATAAGAAGAATGGACGGATGAAACTCATCTCAATTTAAATATATATGTAGGTACATATTCTTTTTTTAAATGAAATAAGGACGTTCCGTCTGCGATTGTATTTCGTCTCCTTATATTCAAATATAAACCTTAGGTTAAGTGGCAGCAAAGGTTAACTAAATACTAAAATTAAGCGACTTTAGGAATGGTCAATCAATGGATGGGTGACCAAAAACTTATTATCTCGACCTACTCCGTGCTTCGGAAGGGAATTTAATCCGTTGGTCCCGAATGCATCTGCAGTTGTTAGCACCTAATGGCCTAATCTCCCTATTCCGTTCATAGGGAAAAAGGAACGGGCTATCCACCAGAAATAGGGACATTAATATGTTGATGATAATTGATATATTAGTCACGAGAATGTTTCTTCGGGCAACTGTAAATTTTACAGACAAAGTATTTCGGTACGTCTAAAGAAACGTTTTACTAAAAAATCTATACGGTCCAGACATCAGAATAAAAAATCTATGTAGTGTGCATAAGTAGTTGTGTTTTGTAAATTAAACACTATAGCAAGCATTTGAGTCGGTAGGTATCGTTCCAGAGTTCCCCAAGGTGAAGAATGAGGTCAAGGTTGGCCAACGTGGGAACGATACTCTGGTATCTTAAACGTCTGTTAGGTGTGGCAGCCGCATATAATCATGCTTATTATATCATATATACTTATCATATGCTTGTGTGCTATTATCTATCTATTCATATAATAAAATGGTAGGAAAGTCAAAATTGTACGCTGAATATTTTTTAAAGGATACTTGGGGTGTGATCTACAATCGATACCGAAGCCAAAAATATAGTTTTTAGAATTTTTGTCTGTTTGTCTGTATGTATGTCAGGGGTAAACTCAAAAAGTACTGCATGGATTTACTTCAAATTTGCCACGAATATTTTTTAGTTTTACATAAAAAAGACAATTTAATCAGTAACTATGTTAGTTTTCAAGTTTGCTGATTCGTTCTAAAGAATAGTATCTAAATAAATTTAAAAAATACTAGGCACTTACTTTTTGATGTTTTTAGTTAATTTAAATGGTTTTTCATGCGCGTTACTGACCGCGAATTTCAATAAATCAAAAAATTGTGAGACTATATTTTAACCTTATCTTTTGACATAAATCATAATTAATTGAGAATGGCTAACTCTATAGTAGGTAGTACATATTATATAGATTAATTATTGTCTATAAGACTAAAAAAGAATATGTCTACATACCTGCTCTGCCATGGTGTGATGACGTCATCATCAGGCCCACCAATCAACACTAGCCTCTTAAGCCTCAATAAATTGTTTTTAAAATCATCTGATTTCGCTGATCTGGAAAAATATAAAAATCACTATTATTTTCATACAAAAAAGCTAAGAAATTTAAATGACACTAAATTTTACATTTTATATTTCGTATGTTAAGTTAAGCTTTACATCTTAAAAGCACTTCACAGAGTTCTGTCAGTATTAAAAAAACACAATCATAAAAGACAAAAGTTTACAATATTACCTATTTAATTAATCTTTGAAAAATCTAATCAAAAGTTTTATTTCCCAAACTCCAGTAAAACTTATAAATAAATCAAAGATACTTTCAAACTCGTATGGTAAAATTGTATTAAATAAAAAAGAAGATAACCATTTACATAATTAACCAAAAATTAAAGTTAATTGCCAGAACGTTTCTTTTCAATTCTAACATCAAATAAAGGAAAAACTTGATAACATTTCTTGGCTGTGTTCAAAAACACAAAGCACAAAATAATGAAAAATAAACGAATTAAATTACTTATTTTTTAAACGAATTATGTTATTTTTACCTTTTTTCCGAAAAAGAAACACTTTATAATAATAAAAAATAAAAAATACTTTTTTTAATTTTTAAGAAAGTTAAAATACAAGAAAGTTAATTTCAATTTTTAAATTTTTCTTTTTATATTATAGTATTATTTTATTAAAACATAAAATAAACACAGTAAATATGAATATAAAATAGTCAAAACTAAAAAAATCTAAAACAAAAATATCAGGTTCCACCGAGATTTGAACTCGGATCGCTGGATTCAGAGTCCAGAGTGCTAACCATTACACCATGGAACCGATGTGAGTAACGACGAAATTTGAAGTCACAAGCTGCTTGTCATTTCGTAAGTACAGTGAACCACATATGAAATGGAACACTTGGAAAGTATTACTTTATTTAAATAAAAACTGTTTTCTTGATTAAAACTTATAAGTTTTTTTTTATATTATTTTGACGCACGGTTCAAAACATACAATTTAAAAAAATAAATGACAATACAATATTGCAAATACGTATTTCCTACTAAAATATTTAGTCTGCCAAAGTAACTATTATGCTCTCTGGTTTAACTATCACCTTTGGGTTACCTATCCGTTTCACACACATGCTAATTAAAGCGAATAAGTAACTGTTTTCTCTTCGTTATTTTTTGATAATCTAACTCAATATAATTTCTTTTTATTTACCCCGTCTTCATCCATATTGTGAAAGTCACCTGAAATGGCGGTAGACGCTGTAGGTCTCGTACAGAGCCTGGTGGTACGGGTCATTCCAGTAGTCCCTATTGTGAAACTCACCTGATATGGTTGTTGATGTACGGCAGGTAGACGCTGTAGGTCTCGTACAGAGCCTGGTGGTATTGGTCGTTGCAGTAGTTCCTATTGTGAAACTCACCTGATATGGTTGTTGATGTACGGCAGGTAGACGCTGTAGGTCTCGTACAGAGCCTGGTGGTACGGGTCGTTCCAGTAGTCCCTATTGTGAAACTCACCTGATATGGTTGTTGATGTACGGCAGGTAGACGCTGTAGGTCTCGTACAGAGCCTGGTGGTACGGGTCATTCCAGTAGTCCCTATTGTGAAACTCACCTGATATGGTTGTTGATGTACGGCAGGTAGACGCTGTAGGTCTCGTACAGAGTCTGGTGGTATTGGTCGTTGCAGTAGTTCCTATTGTGAAACTCACCTAATATGGTTAATGATGTACGGCAGGTAGACGCTGTAGGTCTCGTACAGAGCCTGGTGGTACGGGTCGTTCCAGTAGTCCCTATTGTGAAACTCACCTGATATGGTTGTTAATGTACGGCAGGTAGACGCTGTAGGTCTCTTACAGAGCCTGGCGGTACGGGTCATTCCAGTAGTCCCTATTGTGAAACTCACCTGATATGGTTGTTGATGTACGGCAAGTAGACGCTGTAGGTCTCGTACAGAGTCTGATGGTACGGGTCGTTCCAGTAGTTGCCCACCGAAGTGTGCTGCCCCACCCGCGAGTAGAACAATTCATACACAGTGTCTTTTACTAGGCCAGGAAATACTAAGTGTAGGAATCCGGCTGGAAATAAAGAGCAATGATTTGTTCATATTTTTGTGTGTTTGTAACGAATACACTAAAAACCGGCCAAGTGCGATTCGAACTCGCGCAGGTAGGATGCCGTACCAAAAATGGCAAAACACGCCTGTTGTATGGGAAAAAACTTTCATTATTAGAAAACTAATGTAGATTCCAGTCCTCATAGCATGCGCACCGCGATACCATATATAACTCGTTTTTATCTCGCTCAACTGGCGAATTCCTATGGAGTTTGATAGTTATACGCGATAAAAAACAACAATAGTTATTTATTATACAAGAGTGGAAAGTTCCTTTTTAACCGCGTGCTCGATTTGGATGACCGAGCAAGCGAAGGATTCTAAAGTTGAATCACGAGCGCAGCGAGTGATTCTAAATTAGAATCCTGAGCGTCAGCGAGGGAAACAAACGAGCACAAGGTGAAAAATCTTTCCACTCGAGTGCAATACGTAACTTTTCATCCCACCTCAGCGAGGAAATGACAAAATGAAAAAGAAAACAATTTATAATGACAAAATATTTAAGCAATAAAACGTGAAAAACTAGAATGGCGCGAAGCACGCAAATAAAACAAAGAAACCAAGAAGGTTCCAAATTTAAATTTTTTCACAATTTAAAAAGTTCTAATCATAAATTTGGCACCATAGAGGTTACATTAAATAGGTTTAATGACGTTTTGAATTTACAATTATATTGAGTACTCATTATATGTGATGTTCTAAATTCAAATCTACTTTGCCGCTCAAGCGAATAAAATAGAATTTTCCAGCCAGATTTCGAAGCGCAAAATTACACTTTCCGAGGTGGTGGGATGAAAAAATATTGTGGTGGACATGCTATAGGGACTGAGTGACATAGGATATATTTTATTGCGTTTAAATACACCCGTCTACAGCAGGGGTAGATCTAGCTAGTGAAAACCATAAATTCGAAAGTTACCTTCGTGTACTACTTTACTTTCGAACTGCTTAGCAAATTCTTTTGAACGATTTTTGGTAGGAAATAAGGGGGCAACCTCAGGGAAGGTACATTAAGCAAATTTTTGTTGCTGTTTCTTGCTTGCTTATTGCTGAGATATGGGATGACAGTTGGAAAAAAATACCAACTTAATAAAACACTACAATTACAGGTCATTATCCATCTTCCTATACTGTAGGTAATTAATTTAAAGTATGCTTGGAGAGGGCATCAACCTGACTTATTATCTATAGAACAGCATTGAATTACTGTAGTTTATAATGACTTATTTATCATAATGACTATCAATCACAAAGTAAAAAAAACCTCTTTTCCATATTTTTTTTACAATACTATTGTAATTCAGATTGGAAATAAAATAACAGTTTGTTATTTAAGTACATACTTGCTTGTGCGTGCCTTGTATAATAAATGTATCTATACATATTAAACAAATGAAACAAGCAAATATTTACAATAAGAAATATATTCTTGATAATAAATTCCAAATTATTTTATTCGGTCTAGGCTCTTACAAGCTCTCGTTAATGTCAACTCTATGCCATCGGTTCGTAAATTTACAGAGGGTGACTTTGTACTGAGAAGAACCGGCAAAAACTCAGCAAGGGCTAATTTTTCTCCCTATTTTATTTCATAAAGTGTTGTCATTTGAAATATGATATCAAAACTTATTTATAATGGGAATTTATATAATACTTGAACTTTACCTCCATACTGCCCAGCCTGCGGTGAACTGAGTGATATAAATGTGTCAACAGACACATTTGAAAATGTTTGCACTATACCCCTTGCAACTAGTCCCCCTTGTGAATATCCTGAAAATTTTAAGTTAAATATTCATTAAAATGTTTAGAAATATATAAAATTTTAAGGATGATCACACTTTCAAATACTTTGTTCTGATAATAAATTAATCAATCCTATGCATTGAAATTAATTGATATTATATATAGTTTTTACGTCATTAACTGATAACCAATAATTTATGCTGACCTTAAACTGAATATTGTATATTGATGTTAACTGCTATAGTTGTTATCTTATCTATAAATACAATAAAGTACTAACATATACATGAACTGCATTAGAATATTCTATACTTCAAGAACAATGAATACAACACAAGTGTTCCAGGGCTTTATGGGGTTGGGGATTGGAATCAGACTGGCAAAGTGAGGACTTTCTGATGCATCATCTATCTTCACAACTGGACTCCACTTACAATTAACATCAGGTGGGGTAGGATAAATTGTAGCACCTTATTTAAAGAAATATAAAAAATCAAATGTTGCACTTTATAGAAAATTATAATCTGTAAGTAACTTATAATTTCATATGCAGATTTGTTTTGTTACAATTACAATCAATTAGTTTATAACAAATTAGACTCAGTAGGATTTCAAGAATTATAAAAAATTTTAGACAATACAAAATTAGTGTTGATTAATTTATAATTATAATAAGTAATGAATGTTGTGTTGTGCTTTTCTGTGATTGATGGAGCATTTAGTGCAACATAATCAACTATGACAATCAGGTGAAATTAAGAGTAGGTATCTAACATTACAGCTCATAAAATCACACTAACCATATATTGATATACTATATACCATAACCAATATATTGAGATAAGAAATTTTGATGAATTGATAGAGAGTAATATTTACAATTCACATTCAATTGATTTGAACTTTCTCATATAATAAAGTAAAAATAGTAGAGTGATTTAGTATTTTGATTCCAAGAAATTAAGTTTTTATGGGTTGAGCCTCACTAATTTAAATCACTTTCATCATCATTATCATCTCAGCTATACAACCCCCACTGCTGAGCATCTCCCCAAAGGATCTTCACATCAATTGGATTATTTTTGTATATTTATTTAAAAAGTATTAACTAGTCCCCACCCAGAACACACAGTGAAGATAGATTTAGTCTAATTTAGGGCTAAATGATGAGAATGATATAACTTCTTTGGGACAAATATAAAAAATAGTTAAAAAAATAACTCTCACCTATGATATTGATACCCCCTGGATGCTTTGCAGAAATATTAGCAACATCCATTCCAATTTCCAGCACTTGGTGCCACATTGTTTCTAAGCTCGTCCAGCCTTCAAATCTATTGACATTGTATACTACTGTCCCTGGATGTTTCTGAAATATATATTTGATAAAAACAATAGATAATCACCACCTAATTTGTCAAATATTTGTTTTTAAGGAGATGAAGGAAGGAAGGAAGAAGGAAGGGAGGGAGAAGGAAGGAGAGAATAAGAGAGAAGGAGGAGAGAAGAGCGTAAAATTGCAGTAAATAGAGAAAATGTTAAGATTTTTCATTCACGGTAGCGTTATTATAGGAGGGTTTCTTCACACTTACCTCTTGAATTCTGTGCGAGATCATTTCCATGCTTCCACTTCCCGTCATAATTCCGTGTATCAAAACTACAGGTTTGTAAGAATAACTACTACTTGAAAATAATAAAAGCAAAAAAGTTACCAATCTCGTTTCCATTTTAGAATTTTAACTTTAAGTAAGTCACGAACAAAGGGAATCGTTAATAATAACAAAGCTTTGTGCACTGATAAAAAAATAGCTTTAAACAATTGCAATCATTGAACGTATTTTCAAAAGTAATTAATAACGTCTAACTTGTTTTTAAAAACGTTATAATCTGAAGGACATTATTTACGTAATTTTAAACCAATAGTGCGTATTGTAACAATTGTAGTCCACAGTACACTCCTCTCCTCCTCCACTGTTTGTTTATTTTTCGTAACGTCGTGACTTAAAACGAAAGAAACGTCAAAACAGTCAGTCAGGGTAATACCATTTTCAAATGCGATGTTCTACTGAAATTATTATGAAACATAACCAGAATTTACCATATATTACTAATTCCTAACATAGAATACCAAAAAAATCATTTTACTATGTAAAAATAATTATTTATGTGTAACAGAAATGATGCAACCCCTGAAAATAGTTTGTTACAAATATGAAAATAAAACAAATAGGAGATATTATTGCAAACAGTACACAGCACTAAGCACATAAACAGTAAACAATATCTGGTGTCAATTTTGGCAAGACTTAAAACTAAATTTCACATCAGTCTCAACTTTTCATTCTGTATAGAGAATTACAAGGATACACTGTTGTGAAATTTAACTTTACATTTAGATAATCATGCCAAAATTGACCCCATTGGCAAGTGGTTTAAACTTTTAGGGCGCGATGCATAAGACCAGGAGACTTTTATAATAATATTGCACTATCTCTACACAATTTTTATGATCATATGAAACACAGCTCTTTATAAAATTATATATTTTATACTATATAACTTATGACCGACCAAACATATCTAATGGTTGAACATGAAGTACTATGTCAAATACCAACTGCTGCGCATGTGCAGAACAGATTGTCACAAACAAGATTAACGCAATATTCGAACGTACCAACGACCGACGAACGACCTTCTACCGTGAAGATCGAACTCCTCCCTCTACACAAACTACGAACAAAATTGTTTAATTGTACCTTTAATTGACTTTAAAATTGGGAAAAGTGTAGTACTGATATACGGATATAGGAAACAATTCACTTTCATCAACCAAGAATGTTTGAAAACTACATCAGCTTTTCATTTTCATCGGTGTCGTTTCATTTATTTTCATTAAATCAGTTTAGGTGATATCTCAATGCTAGTATAATTGTTTAATGTACAGTTGCATTTAAAATAGCTCTTATTAAATAATATTATATGGCATGCTCTTATGTTTAGAATGATTATATTAATGTCAATAAAAGATGCAATCAATAAAATAGCTCTTATGACATTATATTTTGCGTCATATTTGTTTGTTTAGAATAATTAAATTAATGTCAATAGTGTTTACGGTTTTTTTTTATTTATCATAAACTTTCAAACTTAAAATAAGACAAAGACGCCTCTTTCCTGTCTTAATTGTCTTCTTGTGCTAAATCACCATAATTTTTTAGTCTACTAGTTTTATAAAACTTTTCTTGATCATACTAAATAATCCACTGAAGTAGTCGAAATATACTAAAAGAGTAAAAAAATACTAAAACATGGTAACTCCGTCACACCGACATATTTTTTAACGTTCTCCCTTTTTAGGAAAGGCAAAAGAAATAATACTCATACAGCCTAGTCTTCAGTTTTCTATTTTTTTATTGACATTAATATAATCATTCTAAACAAAAGAACATGCCACATAATACTATTTAATAAGAGCTATTTTAAATGCAACTGTACATTAAATAATTATACTAGCATTGAGATATCACCTGGTTAAACTGATTTAATGAAAAAAAATGAAACGACACCGATGAATATGAAAAGCTGATATAGTTTTCAAACATTCTTGGTTGATGAAAGTGAATTGTTTCCTTTATCCGTCCATCAATACCACACTTTTCCCAATTTTAAAGTCAATTAAGAATGTGGGTGGGACGCTTTTTTATTGGAGTGTTTGGCTCGAAATGTATCGAATCAGCTTTATCGATTAGCTTCTGTGAGGTTGTTAGCAAATCTGATTTGTACTAAGAACATCGTATGTGCAATAAATTATAGAGAATTTTATTTTTTTAATTATTAAAATCCGACAAGTAATGATGGATTTCTTAAAGTTTTTCTGAACGGCTCCTTTGAAATGGGCGTCCAGCTCGATTTTTTACGATGACGTCTTCTGTTAAGATCCGTTTGACCTGTGGAGGTTAAAGAGAACGAGAACGATCGCCAACAAACATAAATTACCAATTTATGTTTGTTGATATATTTACCAATTTATGGTTGATTTTTCTTAAAGTACCTATAAACATAATGAGCAATGATCGCAAAACATTAACACTGTTTTAGTTACCGAAATGCTTTAACATTTCAACGTTTGTAAAATACTTTCAAAGTATTTTGAGGGAAATTCATTTCACTGTCATACTAATAATGTTTATGACTTGACAGACTGATGTTAAATTCAGTTTTAAAAGTTAAGAGAATCGTGCCAGAATCGACACCATTGAATGAACTGTCAGTAGAACTATCATCAATCTGTCACTGTCAATTCTGTCAATATATTGAAACTGCACGTGGGGTAAGGGGCAGATGAATTATTTTCTTATTTTCAACGTTACCGACGAGTTATAAAATAGTTGTTAAGTTTCATCAAAGAATCTAATATTCATAAATATTAAAGCAGGTATTTGAGGTATTTTATTGCGTTCGTGCTTTTACATAATATCATTTGATGCTTTATTTGTAAGGTTATGTTATTGTCTCTTTAAAACTTAAACATTACATAAAATTTAAATGCTATTGCAGGTTTTACTGATTGTGATACAATGGCTACGACATCTTTGGCCGAGCAGCTTCAGAAGCTGTCAGCACCCCAGTCTTCCATCTACAAAGAGGACAACAAGAAAGCATCACTACTATTTGATCCTAAGGAAGCCGCTCTCAAAGACCGCGACACATTTTATGAGATCGGTATAAGTGGACTTAATGAACTGATAGCATTATATGAAGGATTCCGTGTGTATGAAGCCTCATTGTTCAGTTTAAATTCAAAGGACTTTGAAAGAGCTGTTCAGAGTAAAGAGGTTAATGACCATCTTGATCAGACTATTGAAAAGTTTTTAATGCAACTGTCTCCATATTTCTTGTTGCAGTCATCACATAAAGCTTTGGAATGGCTAGTCAACAGGTATCACATACACCAGTACAACCAAAACGCAATAATGGCATTGATATTGCCATATCACAGTTCAAAAATCTTTGTCCGCTTTGTACAAATAATGGATATTAAGTCTACAAACAGATGGAATTGGTTGCAGCCAATCCAGAAAAATGGAATACAACTGGGTAATCAAGTTTGGTATAATCAGTGTGCTTCAAACACTGCTACACTGCAATTTGTTGCTAAAATGACTTTGAAATATGTAAAAGAATTTGGTAAGAGATCATCTCAGTTAAATACAGTATTTGCTTTCTTCTGTCAAACTGCCCTAGGTGTCATAGAGAGCAGCAAACGTGTATCGGAAGCGATAATCAATGCAATCTTACCAACTCTGATAAAGGCTATTGATTCTCCGATTGTTGACTTTAGGTCATCAGCTTATATTATACTTGGATTCTTATTAACTAAAGCCACTTTGAAAATAGATACTTTAAATGAAATTATTGGAAAACTGCTTATAAATGAATTCAACATGACTTACGATATGGTCATATTGATTACTATGTTGTATAATTGTCAAACTCATCTGACAAAAGTTTCTGATACAATACTAAATGATATTTCATTGGACACTATGAATAGTTTGTGCGACTTTCTCAAGAAATGTACAGAGTGTAAACAGAATATTCAACCATTTATGTTAGCTTTCCTATCCAGTATTCTACCAGTTATTCAGCGTAATACAGAAAACTTTAAGAGATTTTGTCAATTACCTCAGATACTCATTGACAAAGTTGACTTAAAACGGCAGCAGCCTGAAACAATTATCAAGTAAGTAGATTTATTATTTACACAAAAAAACTCCTCTTATTCTTTAGTATCTTTTTATTTGAAGTCTAATGCAAAATTACAAATAACTAAAATATTGTAAACCAAATTTCATGACTATTTCTGAAAAACAAAAATCATTATGAAAGAAAGAATATAAACAGATAATGACAAACAGTACACTTATTTTAAAATCTAATTTTACCCAAGTCTAAAGTATTTAATACTGTACAATTATTGTGTAAATCAATTTTACCCAAATTTATTAAAATTTGGTAATGGTGCTATGCCAACAAACTGCCAGATCTAAGTTGCAGTTTTCAAGTTGGCTTGGCATTATTGCTGAATATTGTTATTATTTTTAATTTGAATGTATTGCGAATACGAAAATTTGTTCTACTAACCTATTTTAAAGTTTAATTCTATTTGATCCCAAAAAAAACCAATACTTGCTTTCTGCTTCCACAATCATATTTTGACATGCATCAACAGAACAAATTTTTGCTAGGTTCAAAAATATCTGTTGGTTGCTTTCTGCTTAACACCACTCAATTATGCCTTGATTGTATGTTAAACATCTTAACATATTATTTCATAAACATATTATTTCTTATTTTCATGGATTAAATTTATTGCTAGCAATAAGAAATAATATTTTTATTAACTGAAAACTAAAGTAACTGATAAATATTTATTTATTTTCATTTGGGAAACATACAATTTTACACAATTCAATTAAGTAACACTTATTACTTTTTCATAAACCAGTAAAGTTTCCACAGACTGAGAATTATTATTTAGAAAATCACAATCATTGGTAAGTAATATTAGACAGCTAACTGATAATTTTCTGATTTATATTTACAGATGTATTCTAAATTCATTTCGCTTGAAAAAAGTACGTAATCTTCCTGATGGCAATGGAAGCGATGTTGAAATCATTGATGAAGAAGTTGAAGATTCAGGAGGGATAATGCACTGGTACTCATGTTTACTGAAAAATATGGAGAAAAAATACCCAGATGCATTTGATAAAGTTATAAAGCAAGAAATGACCTCTCATAAGAGTGAAGCTTCATCTAAAAGGAGGTTACAACTATCAAAGGTGCTTGGCTTCAAACCAGCTATGGCTCATAGAGTTGGTGATACATCTTTGTTTGAAAATCTCAATCATGTAAATGCTGAACTGAGGGCTGCAGCGGTAAAATATATTTGTAAAGAATTTTATGCACTTAAAACTGAGAATATTGATTTTGTAAAGGACTCAATTGTGAATAGACTTAAAGACGACAATATTGATGTGGTTGCTGTAGCCTTAGAGATACCTAATAATTATTTGGATCAGGTTCTCAATGAAATAGATGTTACTAATGTTTTTGTCAATATTGTAACTAAAAAGTCGAAAAAATGGAATTATGTCATTAAAGACGCCATCGTAAAATTTTGCTCTTTAGAAATGCTTCCTGTGAATCAAGAGACTGTATTAGCATTAATACCACATTTATTTCCATATGACAAAAGTTCAGCACAAGTTACATGGAGTATTGTGAATTCATCCTGGGGTGAAAAGTTTAAACTCACTGGTTTACTAAAAGAAGAACTTCGTAACCATAAAGACAACCATGAAGTACTGAATCAAATGATATTCAAAGCATTATTTGTTGACAGAGTTGTAAACTTTGATGATATACTTGATGTGAATCAAGTGGACAAAAATAACACACTTCAAATATATACCTATTTTCTTTTGAAATCCTGCTCATTTAAATCTTCCACAATAGAAGAAATAACAGAAACACTTAATTTTCTTCTTGAATCTGTTGAAGTTGAAGGTAGGTTCATAATAGCAAGTTCTGGAGATGACACTTTTTCAAGCAAAATCATGCAAGAGATGATCAAGAGTTTTAAACAAAATGAAATCTTATTTGAGGCAGTGGAGTTCATTTTTTCCAGAATTATTGAAGATATGGATGTAAAAAATCTTCCTAAACCTTGGTGTAATGTTTGTGAAAGTACAGAAACTATTCTTGTCAGGAGAATATATGAAATTTGCATTACTGGGTGTGCCATACCTACTTATGAAAAGAATTATGTTAAACTGTTACATCAATTATTAACGAAATTTTTTAAACAGGGCAGAGAGAGATGTGAATTCATAGCAAATTTTGGATGTGGCCATATCTTTTATGCTAGTGATCCAAAAGACGTCATTAGCCCAGAGCTTCAACTCAGAAGCTTGAAACTAATGAATAATTTCTTTTCACTTTCAAATTCAGATTGGCTTCTTGAATCTGATGTTGTCGTATTAACAATTCTGTTTAATTTGAACAATCCTATTCAAGCTATTCGCCAAACTGCTGTAGATTTAATAAATAATCTCCTAAGGTTTGATCCTGATAAAAACAAAATATATGTACAGCTGATGAAAGAGCTGATAGAACATAAAGAAGAGCTTTTATTAGATCATGAGCAAATTCCACAAGTTTTAAATACTATTCTGTCTCAAACTTCACCAGTTAAGAAAATATTCAGAAAGAATTGTATTATTAAATTTTCAAATATTTTAACCTCTGATACACCTCCATTTATCACTTCAAGATTTTTAAAATTGTTATACAATATTAACAGTGCAAATACATACTTATCTTTTGTAACAACTCTAAATTCGTTGGAAAAGAAGTTAGCAGCAAGTGAGCTTAATCAAAAATTTACATTCAATATTTATGAATCTAATTTGTTTAAAAACTTTTACAATCTAATAAATGAGTCAACTGTTACCACTTTTAATAAAGAACAAGTTTGGCGTTCTATAGAATTGGGGTTGAAAGAATACAGGGAATGTATTTTAGTTGAAAATGAAACTTTCACGAGTCCAAGTGTTTTGATTATGAAACAACTTGATGAAGACGTATTAAAAAAAGTGCCCACTGACAAAACTGCAAGTTTAGTTCGTTTGATAGCGTCTGCCGGTACGTTCAGTAATAATCCAACTATTTGTAGTGTAGCTGCTAAAACAATAAAGAAGATGAATTTATCTCTAAAGAACTTTAAACCAATATTAGAAAATATGTTGAATGCTGTAGATCCGGCGGAAAAGGGGCAGAAGACGAAAAAGTCCACAATGACAATGCTTTCTTTCCAACTAACTGAAACTGATGAATGGAAATTAGGAGTAACTCTTCTGGAATATGTCCAAAGTAAGAAAAAATTGTCAGTGGACAACACATTTGTGTTCCTCCTGTTTGAACTGCTGAATAAATGCTTGAGATTTGAAGAGCAATCGTACGTGGAATACACTAAGCAACTCATTCTTTCTTCTCTATGGTATTATTGTAAAAAATTTGTTAACAACACTGATAAAGAGCAAATAAGATCTCTCAAATCCAATTTCAAGGTGGACCTTGTGGTTCAGTGCATTAGAGGAACTCAGAATCCACAAACACAAAATCACGCATTGATGCTTTTATCACACGCTGCTTATATGTTACCAGAACAGGTACTTCATCATACAATGGAAGTATTTACGTTTATGGGTTCATCGGTTCTCCGGCATGATGATGCTTATAGTTTCCAAATTATCGTCAAAATAATAGAAACTTTAATTCCAATTATTGTAAAACTAGATAAAGATATACAAGAATGCACAGCAAAGGAGCTTCAACAACTACAAAATCGTGTTGTACCAGTTTTGAGAATATTTGCCGACGTTGTTTTGCACGTGCCTGAACACAGAAGACTTCCGTTATACACTAAGTTGGTAGAAACTTTAGGACCTAATCATTTCCTCTGGGTTTTCTTGGCTCTATTGTTGGAAACACATGTTACTCACTTTAATGACGACAAAAAAAAAGACAAAATGCACAACAGGACTTTAGCCAATCAAGAATCACCCATGAATAGGTTGGACTTTGGTCAAAATATTCTTCTTGAATTTCCCCCTGAAATTTGTTTTGAAAATTTGATTAAACTCATGGGTTACATTAAAACATTGCCAGTACAAAAAGACGAAAAATCTATGGACACTGATGTCGATCCAACTGATATATTTAGCGTTAATGGCCACAGTGCTGTTCAACTGCGACAGTACAAGTATACAGTTATTACATTCATGAATAGCTGTTTGGAATCTTCCAGATTTATATACCATAATAGTCAAGCGACTGACGCCAAAGTCATGGAAGATCATTACAAGACGTTTATTATCAACATATTGACATATATTCAGAGTATTTCTAAAATCAGCGACGAAAAGACTTCCAAGTATTGGCGAGTGATGTTACACCATAGTTACGATCTTTTAGATCACACTAATAATTTATTATCAGCCCCAATGTTCCTATCCGTCGTGAAAGGACTGCTGAAACATACACTGCACGCAGTACGACGTAAATCTATGGAGTTATTGAATACAAAATTAAGCTCTGAGATATTTGACGATGTAGACAAAGAATTGTTATGTTCACTACTGCCCCCTCTGATGGGTATCATCAAGACTATTGAAAGTAAAGACGAGAATGTTACTGAAATTACTGCCCATGAAATTGAATTAAATCAACAAACAGCTCTGTTGTCTTTAAAGTTACTCACAAGAAAGTTGGCATCTGAAAACCCTGAGCCATTCAAACCCGTTTTGGAGACCGTCACGGATTACACATGTAACTCCAACATAACTGGAAATGTAATGGCTTCAATAGTGTTATGTTTAGCGGAGCTTTGCAGTAATCTGAAAGCTTATGCACTCTCAAGTCTTAGGAAATTCATGCCAGCGCTTATTAAGGTACTCAAAAAGCAGAGAAAGGCGGAAACTCCCGAACTCGTTCTTCTCAGCACTGTTACAGCGATATCTAAAATAGTTGAAAGCGTGCCATTATTCCTTAGTCCATATTTACATAAAATATTGTATGAGTATGCAATATTATCAGCTAAGTGGCAAACGTCTGATCAGGAATGCAGTAAAGTTTCAGCTGTCGTTAATAAATTGATACATATAAGGATGAAGATTGCAAGCGCTGTACCACCCAGGGTTTTGATACCTATTGCTAACGAGACATACCGTTTACTATTGGAGAAGGAAAATTTTGATGCTGTTGGACCAATAATGTCAGTGTTAGCCGAATGCTTCGTAAATGTGACAACTGCTGACTTCATGGCATTGCGGCAAGACCTGACGACTTTCTTCCTATCAGCTTTGCAATTACGAAGTGAAGCAGTTGATAAGAATGTGGATATGGCAGTCATTGACAAAGCAGAGGACGAAGTCGTAAACGCTCTTGTTCGTTTGGTTCTAAAGCTTTCGGAAACGAGCTTCAGACCATTTTACTTTAAAATTTATGATTGGGCAATCAGAACTAACGTTGAAGGCCAAAAAGACAGGGCTATTACGTTTTACAGGTAAATCTTATTTAAAACTTATTTCTTATCATATCTGTTTCAGTTGTTTTATCTAATTATTTATAATTTTTGAATTTATTTTCAGATTGAGTAGTGCAATTGCTGATCAACTGAAAGGCCTATTTGTACTTTTTGCTGGACATTTCATGAAGAATGCCTCAGAACTATTGGATTCTTGCAATAACAGCAAAAATGAAGATCTCTTCTTTGATTCTGAGGATAAATGCTTGGAACTCGTCAAGTACATAATAAAAACTCTTCACATAGTATTTTTATATGATAACCAAAATTTCTTGAACAAGGAAAAGTTTGAAACTCTAATGCAGCCAGTAGTGGATCAATTGCAGAATACTTTGGGTTCGATTCAGTCACTTAAGACGAGGGCTACAGAGTTGTTAATCCCTTGCATTTCGCAATTCGCTGTTGCCACTCAAGATGACTCGCTGTGGAAGTTGTTGAATTACCAAATACTACTGAAGACGAAACATAATGATGCCGACATAAGGTACTTTTAAATTTTTTATTTACATTGCTGTAACGTTTATTCTATTGTTATTTTTAGCATTTACATGATGGATTAAATATTTTCACTTAAAAAAATTACACGGCCCGGTCGTCAGACAGGATAATTTAATTTTCTAGTATGAAATTTTTGAGTTCGTGACATGCCCTCGGCGGATATTTTTCCACAATTCAGGGACTTCTGCCCTCCACGGGCAAAGGCCCGATTCTCGCAGACGAGGGTCTTTTGTCGTCTGCGCAGGCCATTATTTGCCCTTTCGGGTAGACGAGCGTTTTTGGTTGTGATCGCATACGGATACATATATGTATGTATATCCGATTTCAGATTTTAAAATCGATTTCAAAATCCGTTTTTAGATAGCCGAGTTCAGATGTGCCTAGCTTTGCCAATTCACTGGTTTGTCTTTAGATTTGGTTTTATTGGCTAACGACAATCACAAAGAAATGTGGGAAGCAAGGGTATTCGTGGATTTTCTCGATTTTCCTTCATTCTTTAATCTAGGCTTAGGACTAACAGACATAATATGTTTACGGTGTCGAGTAAAACTTTTCCGGCGCATTTAAAAATCGGCTGATGTACAATTTCTTTTTACATTTTTGTGCACATATAGTCTTTAACTAATAAGTAGGATTATATTGATCGCACATATTCAATGGCAATAGATTTTCGCAAACAACAAACCGAAATCGGACTTCTGAAATTCACGTCATCTTTTGTACTCCGCTTTGTTACGATTGGTTGGAAAGAGTCAAAGCAAATTTTATTGGTGCTCGAAATTGTGAAGAAATTCGCCTTGCCTCTTTCTAACCAATCGTAACATAATAAAAAAGATAGCGCGAATTTCGAATCCGATTTATGTTTAGATTTATGATTGGACGCACACACAGTACGTTTGGTGGTATTAGATCGTTAGCGTTTTGGTACGGTTAGATTTCTGATATCGGATTACCTTGTTGGGAAATCGATTCGGAATCGAAATAGGATTTTGGATTCGTATTTATATATCGGACGCATGCCTATTTCGGGGCTCTGTTGAGTTTAATAGTACGATTAAAGTAATGGACATACCTTGTAAGAAAAACACTGACATTTTAACTAAAAAATGCATTTTTTTAGATTGATCGCCCTGGATTGTTTGGTGGCAATGGCGACGCAACTCGGTAGCAGTTGGCTGCCACTCCTGGCAGAGAGCGTGCCCTTCCTCGCTGAACTTCTAGAAGACGGCGACCAGAGAATAGAGACGTCAACGAAAGAAGCTATCAGAAAGCTCGAGCAGATTCTTGGAGAACCCCTCGAGAAATACTTTTAGCCCTCCAACTAACATAATGACAATAAAATTGTTAAGTTTCAAAATATGATTTTGTTTTGACCTTATTACCTTTGCCATTCAGACGTCGAAATGAAGCGACTCCAATGCTTGACTTGTTTTGTGTATCTATCTATACACCTTCACCTGTATGACCAGATTAACCTCTTAAAAATATGCTTTAAAGTACATTTTACTTAGATATAATGATGAGGAAAATGTTTGATATTATTTGAAAGGTAACGAAAAGGAGTGTACGAAATACAAAATTTAACTTGATATTTTTTGTTCAATATCATTTCTAGACGATTAACAGAAACATCTTTTTAGTATTAGGTATTATAAATTGTATTCGTCAGACGGTCTCCAAGTTACAAGAGCTGGGGTTGGAAGTTCTCCATCATCCACCGTACTTACCAGATATTGCTTCTACAGACTTCTACTTTTTCAGAATTTGAATAACTTCTTAGCGGGGGAAAAAATCAATTACCAAGAGGCAGTTCAAAATGCTCTTGAAGAATTTGTTGCCTCCCGTCCAACAGACTTTAAAAAAGGGGATCGATAAGCTACCACCGCCTGGCTACCACTACATTGGCAAAAATGCATTGATTGCAAGGCGCAAACTAAAAATATTAAAAAGGGCGCTAGCTTTTGCATAAAAAACAGCAAATACGAGGGTAATGAGCTAATAAACAACACGTTATACATCCCGGCAAACTTATTACCCCTTATTAATAAACGAGGAATAAGCTTAGATAGAGGAGCTCGATGGCGCAGGTGGCTAGCGCGTTCGGCTGCGATCGTTGAAGTTAAGCAACTTTCGCAGTGGTCGGTCATTGGATGGGTGACCAAAAATTTACTATCTCGAGCTCCTCCGTGCTTCGGAAGGTACGTTAAGCCGTTGGTCCCGGCTGCATTTGCAGTCGTTAGCAACCACCAATCCGCACTGGGCCCGCGTGGTGGGTCATGTCATGGCCCAATCTCCCTATTCCATCCATAGGGAAGGCCTGTGCCCCAGCAATGGGGACATTAATAGGCTGATGATGATGATGATGAAGCTTAGATTAGTTACGCCGTGTTTTGCTCATATCACTCAAATGTCATTTGTCATTCAATGACAGAGACAAAACATGGAGTAGCTAATCCTAGTTTATTCTTCGTTTATAAATAAGAGGTTGGGGTTGAGCAAAGACCATATAGAGAGGAGCTCGATGGCGCAAGTGCGATGGCTGCGATCGTTGAAGTTAAGCAACTTTCGCAGTGGTCGGTCATTGGATGGGTGACCAAAAATTTACTATCTCGAGCCCCTCCGTGCTTCGGAAGGCACGTTAAGCCGTTGGTCCCGGCTGCATCTGCAGTCGTTATCACCCATCAATCCGCACTGGGCCCGCGTGATGGGTCATGCCCCAATCTCCTTATTCCATCCATAGGGTAGGCCTGTGCCCCAGTAGTGGGGACTTTAATAGGCTGATGATGATGATGAACGACCATAGACAAGAAAATCGGCGTAGTAAAATAGCAATTTTACATACAAAACGAGCCAAGTGCGTGTCGTGCCACGCGCAGTGTAGAATTCCGTAGTTGCCTGTAGTTACCACAATATATTTGAGCAGGAGTTTTTATTTTCTATATCGGAAATTAAAAACCAATTAATATCAATCTATGTATCTCAACTAAAATACCTAAATCAGAGTCAAAGTGCGTCTCAAACTCAAATCATTTTTTTTTGTAATACGAATTATAACCGCCGATTTTTTTTGTTTCCTCCCAGGTGGGAGAGCGGTTGTAAAATCCTCATGGAAACGCAGGCTGCTAGGTTATGTCAGACTAAAACTACTGACTAAAAGCTTCATCTGAAGCGACCGTCCCCTGAGAAGGGGATGATGCAGTACAACTGCCGATCTTTCCAAGACAACAAATTTCCAAGAGAGATGAGACAACGATGTCTCATCGTTGAATCGTAAAAAATCGACAGTCCTCGACATACGAATAGACACTTCCTTATTTAAGATTAAGTGTAAAATAAAAATACCTGAGGAGGAGGATAACAGGTGTTTTGAGAGATTAGTTTTAATAAAATGATTATTTTTATTTTCGAACTAAAAGGAATAATAAAACTTAAGATTGACAAAATATGCAAAGATACTACGCAATTATAAAATATTAAAACTACACGATATCCGATACACCTTCAACGACAGATTTCAGCAAATAATGCCCAATTTAGTATCTTTTTTTGTATTTTTATGAAAGCTTATGAAGTCGGGCAGTTTTTAAAATTAGTCAGAAGTTATGGAATATCTATTTTTATTTTTTTATTTTAATTGAATGATTTACTTAATCCATTTTCATTTAGTATCGATCAAAATTTTCATATCTTAGGTTAAAGTAAGGAAGGAGATTATTTTACTAAAATAAAACTACTACCAATAGGCATTATTGTAAAAAAATATATCGAAGAAAAGTCGACCCAAAAAAGTTATGCTTTTTTCCAAGTTATCTCATTGTTGAATCTTAAAAAATGCCAAAAAAATATCTAACTCCCAAACTACGAAAAATCGTTGTACATACATGGGAGTTAAATTGATAGGTATGGTACTCTGCTATCAGCTCGCACTGGCTTGACACCACCCTAAAAGACTTTATAGGGTGGTGAATTATTTTATAATTATTATCTTGAAATTTTCCAGGATTTTCAAGACAATAGTTTAACTTTTAGAGAGGGGGTAAAGCACTAAATTAGCACTTTAAAGTTCAATATTTTGCTAACGTATTCCTAAATTGAAAAATTGTTTATGAACCCCTAAGTAATTTTAAAGGACCTATTCAATGATATCCCACACAATGGCGTCGATGATGAAAAGAAAAATCATTCCCAGGTTGCATGTACCTACCCTACATCTACTCTAAAATATATATTTAAAAAAACTACTATTTTGTCGGCGTGATCTATATACATATCTCCAGAAAATTACAGCTCTCTAGTGCTAATAGGCTCCAAGCAAAACCGAAGACGGACAGACAGACGGACATGACGAAACTATAAGGGTTCTTTGTCAAGATAACGGAACCCTAAAAAAGGCTACTACACATGTTTATTTTCGTCTATGTTCGTTAGGAGGAGGAGGAGCTCGATGGCGCAAGTGGTTAGCGCGTTCGGCTGCGATCGTTGTAGTTAAGCAACATTTGCAGCGGTCTGTCATTGGATGGGTGACCAAAAATTTACTATCTCGAGTTCCTCCGTGCTTCGGAAGGCACGTTAAGCCGTTGGTCCCGGCTGCATCTGCAGTCGTTAGCACCCGCCAATCCGCACTGGGCCCGCGTGGTGGGTCATGGTCCAATCTCCCTATTCCATCCATGGGAAGGCCTGTGCCCCAGCAGTGGGGACATTAAGAGGCAAATGATGATGATGTTCGTTATGCTCGAGAAATTTGCTGCGACCTCTACAAGTCCTTTCATAATCATAATCCGAAATCAAATCATTCACTGTACTTACCTAACACCTGATTGATGGGGAAACAACCAAGTGCTTTGCAAAAATTTCCTTTAAGGACGGTATAGCTGTTTAATACCTGTTTGTACGTGGTTTGTCTTCAAACCTGTAAAATCAAACCATTTCACGTTCAGGACGAGTTCACCGCCATCTATTGAGTCGAAATGAAAACATCCAACATGTTTTTATTCTGTTGAGGAGTTTATAGACTTATGTAAAAGACGACAGTAATCTACTATTTTTTTTCTTTACCCCTGGGTTTGGACCGCTTAGATAGTGCACTTTTATTTTTAGATATTTTATAAAATTTGTATGCCAGATTCTGGTGAATTGTGCGTGTCCCAACAAATAATGTAACACCTTTTGTACCACTTTTCTTGCAACTAAATAAATTATTGTTATTATTATTATTATCCTCACAAACAGCTAGCCTTAGATTAAAACAAAACCTTTTTAAACCTTTTTGTTTTAATCCAAGCAGCCAGCGTTTAAAGTTACCTTTTTATACCACACTACAGATAATAAAGGTTACCTCTTAAGGGTTCCGTAGTCAGCAATGAACCCTTATAGTTTCACCATGTCCGTTCATATGACTTTACGTTACGTTTCGCAGTAGATTAGTACCCCTAGCACGAACCAATATTGAATTCGTATCGTTTGCGAGTCCAAAATGTCACTGTCAAATGTGTACTGATTTTTAGTTCTCGTTACGTACTTTGTGCCGCTGCTGTTCAAGTTTCCATACAAAATTTGACATTGACATTTCGGTTTGCAAACTATTCGAATTCGATAATGGTTCGTGCTAGGGGTACAGTACCCCTTTGACAATGACATTTCGGACTTGCAAACGATACGAATTCGATAATAGTTCGTGCTATTTCGAATAGTTTGCGAGTGCTTTGACATTTAAACTCGTGGCTCGTGCTAAGGGTACTATCCAGTGCCGGCATCGACATACACGGATAGGCTTTGGTATTCTATTTGAGAGGACGTTACCATAAATTATTCTCTATTTTATGATTTTATCGCGTAGAAAACGCGTGTAGGTGTTTGAGATAACTAAAATCCGATTATTACAACCTTTTGCCTATACTTAGATTTCACAAACAGTCTACTCTAGCTTAGTCGCTTTGGTACATACTTGAAAAGCACAACCATAATAATCCGATTATCCGATCCGATGAGCATTCAAAACACTCGGATATTTTAAAAAGTTCCAACTAGGTGGGTAGCTCCTACTGAAACCAGGCCGCTGTATAATTTTAATTAAATTGAAACGCGCATGTAACGTGATATTTTCATAATCTCTATGGACCTGTTATGCACCGTTCTATCCGGCTATTCTAGACAAGTTGAAAGTTTTCTATTCATCTTTACTTCACTCTTAAAACCTGTAGCACAGATTTCATAATCGAGTAACTACTATGCCTGAAGGTATATATTTTAACAACATAGGTATATTTAAGTGTTTGTCCCTGCGTTCCATTATTTGTATTACGATTGTGATGAA